GCGCGCGCTTACGGTCTCCGTCCCCGATTATGGCTCCTGTAGGTATTCAAGACGTATGCACAGATCCCGCCGCCAGTCTTGTTCCACACCACACCAGGGCGGGTGGAATATGTTTGGTTTCGTCAGAGTGAGGCTAGCGACTAAAAATTTCGTCTTTGTCACCTCCGGTCAGTTGGTGTCACACAAATCAACATGGCGGACGTAAACAATGATCAGGAAACGAAGACAAGAGACGCCTCCCCCGCCAAGGAACGAAAGCTTTCTTTAACACCCATGGAAGCTATGGCTGAAGTGGACAAGCTGAAAGAAAGGGTTCGTTCGCTATCTTTTAGCAGTACACTTTCAGGAGATAGCTCTGACAGTGGCAGCAGTTCAGGAACTCGGCCGCTCGTGAAAAGACAAGACGATTTGATCACTTGTTTGAGTGTTATGCGACGTTTGATGGAACAGGCAGAGAGTGAGAGTAAACGAATGCGAGAGGAGAAAGTTTTCATTGCTGCTAAAATCAACAGCTCTCTGAGCGCCGTAAATCGGGAGGTGGAGTATTTGAAAGCCGAGTTGCGAGACCAAGACAAGAGGTTATCGGAGCTTGCGAGTAGTAGACCCACGGAACCTGTTCAAACCCCTGAAACGACAACTGATGGTCCAGGAACCCCGAAGTGTAAATTAGAAGATTTGAAAGAAGACAATGATAGATTACGCTGTGAAAATGATTTTTTAACCAGAGAGCTAAACGAGTGGAGACACGGCAATACAGATTTGGATCAGCTTCGTCAGCGGCTGCATTCCTGTGAACACGAAATTGCTCGAGCTAAAGAAACTATTTCTTGCATGAAAGTGGAAAGAAAACGCTTAAAAACAGAGAAAATGAGTTTACTTAGTCAAATGAAGCAAGTTTATGGAGTTTTAGAGGTAAAAGAAGCGGAGCTGAGGGAATTTATCCAGAATTATGAACAACGGATGGTGGAGGGAGGAGAACAAATTAAACGTCTCGAGAGTGAAAAACTGACTTGGGAGCGGGAGCGAACCGATTTGTTGAGAGAATCTGACAGTTTAAAATCGCAGTTAGAGCTGAAAGACATGCAGTTAAAAGAACTAGAAACAGATTTTTTCGAAGTGAAACAGCATCTATCCGCTTTGCAATCTTCGCTTCGAGAAAACAATTCACAACTGATTTTCAAATCGAACAACTTGAATTTAGACACCCCGGGAGGCAACCAAAAATCGAACGTAAGGAACAACAAGAAGACAAATTCACAGCAAAATTTGAAAGATTCCCCGAGATCGCCGCTAAAAAATGGAGGTGAGTTCGTTCGCGTGATTGTGATTTCATTTTAATTTGTACAATGCATTGTTTATTGACTCAGTGTATTTGTGTGAAAAGGAAAGAAAAACGTTGGAAACTGTTAAATCTTTGATAATGATAAGCTTGCATTAGTCGCTAGTTCAGGAAATCGGTGTTAGATTTTGCAATTTACATCACTCAATCGCCTCAGTACGATTGTGAACGTGATAACCCGATTGCGTTACGATCGTTTGCAGACTGTGTGTATTTGAATGTGTTCAAGACAGACTATTGATTTCACAAGTGCCTAGCAAAGACAAGTACACCACTTAGCACGAATGATATTTTGATATCGATAAACTGAAGTTTTGAGCCGAACGGCTTAGCAGACGTCTCTTTTTTTTATCAAGAATTTAGATGTACGATCTGTTTATGTTTCGCAAAATCTGAAAAAGTACCGGATGTTTGTCATGATATTTCAACAGGAAAATCTATGTCACTCCCTGAATCATCAAATGGCTTTGTTTAAGTGGCTTTTCGCAATTTTCTCAATTTGCGATCACCTCTATTTCTAACAGTGTGGGAAAAATGGTAAAGTTTTCAACTTAGTCATCCTAATTTCACTCAGGTCGCCCAGCGACCTAGATTATCAGACAAGTCATATGTAATCGATATATCCAAATGTAGACAGCACTTCAAAATGAGCAAATAAATTTTACTACTCTTTACACAATTGACTTTAAGTAATGAACCGTTGAAAGCCTTGCTGTCTGAACATTCTATCAAATTTGTTAATTAACATAGAAATAGTTTTCCAGACGTCTTTGTAATCACTAAACAAAGAAAGCTGATGTTACAGTTTAATTAGTTTGCCTCAAGGGCTTGCTGTAGTTAAACAATGACCTTGTTTAGTCATCTTTGTTTTTGAGGGTACAGTATTAGCTAAAAGAAAATCACTGTGTCTTGTTTTGGGCACAAATATTCAAGGAAGAGGACAATAGTAGTTATTTTTGCAAGAACATGTAGATTATCTTTATGTTAATTTGCTGAGATGTGAAACAGACCATAAAATTTGTGATTGCAAGTTTTTCTGGAGAGAAAACAACCCTAAGTGCAGAGGTGGAAGAATATTACTGTGAGATCATTTTGTCAATAACAACAACACCAAAAATGTGTTTGTTTATTTGCCTCTTTTTTTTTTTTACATAATCTCCTTTTTAATTCAACTTATTCACTACTGTTTCTGGTCTGTTTTGAAATAACTACCAAAGTTTCAGTGGCATTATACATGTATATTACTTTGTTCTCACAAAGTCAAGTGTCGGTTAGCCTGTCAGCAGGCTCACATTTGAGTCATGGACGAGTGGGAATGAGCAAGTCAGTCAGCAAAGCAATCTAATGGGGTGGTGTCTGGTGAACAGGTGCCAAGAAAGTGTGCACCGCATGGCATTGCCGCTTGATTTGGCATCTTACAAATGCACCACTTGCACTTGTGCTCCCCAAATGTGAGCCTACTTGTACATGTAGGCTAAGTGTCAGTCTGTACAAAACAGCTAATTCCCAAACAGTGTGTTTTTCCATGTTTCTCATTACACATTTGGTGAATCAACAAATTTCCCTTCACTTTCATGATTTGTTATGTCTTTCCTCAGAATGGAAACTGTATGTAGGGCAATAACATTCAATCAGATTACAGTTCATAGCTTCAAATGTAAACATGTTTTAGCTGGAAAAACAAAGTAGTAAACAACAGAGTGTGGGAAAATGGAACAGAATTCCTTTCTGTGTTTAGGTTGTAAGGTACTAAACATGGCGGCAAAAATTTTTCCAATGCATTGCACCATTTCAGTTGTTACCTTATACAAAAATAGGGTATAAGGCTCAAAGTACTTGGTTCTAGTTATAATATTGCAGTGAAATAAACCTGCAGTTTTTCTTCGACAAATCAATCCTACCACTTTAGATATTTGCTCAACCCCACTAGGCTTTGGCTTTTAAGACTTAGTAGGTGAAGATAAGTAAAGGTCCTTTAAATTAGGTATTTCATATATTTAAACTATGAAAGGGATCCATACAATGTGAGTGTATTTTGATCTGGATGCAATTTTGTGGATATTACTAACAGTGTCGGCTTTTTCTTTAGCTGGCTAAAAGCAGCCTTGACCAAAAAAATTTACTTATTCAGGCTGAAAGGTTTGGGTTTATGTTGAAGCCTGACATGGTCTAAACAGGGGTTGATTTTAGTTTCAAGTGCCTATGAATTGAATTTTTTTTTTTGCGTTTATCTGTCGCTTGTTATGTCTACTTTTCGAAACTGCGTAAAGCAAATAATGTTACAAGGAGGAAAATCTGACTTTTTGCCGTCCAAAGTGAGCTTAGTATAGGAAAACAGTGGGTGCGGAGACTGGTAACGAGTTTACAAGCGATGACGTAAGAAATTGTTCCAGCAATTTGTTTACCCTTCTTTGCCTCTGTAGCTATGTGAATTGCCAAAGGAGATTTCTTCAAATTTTGCCATTTTTTTGCAAGTAAAATGTCAGATAATGATGGATATATGTCCTCTAGTGAAAGTTCCAACATACAATAGCCGGAAAGTAGAGATGAAGTCATCTAAACAATTTCCTACGTCACGACCTTGTAATACATTCGTTTTGGCTGCGCGCAAAATGAACCCACTTTCGGTTGTCAAATTCGAACTTTGGCCTGCAAAAAGTCAAATTTTTCTCTCTTTAACATTATGCGCTTTTGGCAATTTTGAAAAGTAGACATAAGAAGCGACAGAAAAACGCCAAAACACTTTTCACTTCATAGGCACTTTAAGGGAAATTAAAGTCAGTTCAAAATAGCAGGGAGTATAAAATACACACATACATGTAGCTGACTGTAAATTGGGTGAAAATCTAAGGCAAAAGGGACAAAATTCAAAATAACAAGGAGTGTTATTTCAAACTCTGGGGTCGAAATAACTAGGCGTGAATTAGCAGGGGTTCAACTCTCTAGTAAAAATCAAAGCACTCTATGAGCAAATCCATCGATTTCCCAGTGGATGATGATTGACCTGTGTGGCTTATGGGTTATTCTAGTTATACAAGTTACCATATTGACTTCTGGCTATACTTGTTATAACAGCAGTCTTTTTTTTAAAACAAAGAATGACTTTTCGTGCATACTACATGAGGTACAAGAATTGGCAAAACCACCACTACATGAGCTGCATTGCTCTGATGGATTTACTCGTTCTTGATTGAGCCACTCTACCTTGTAAACTTCTCGTCGCCTTGCCCAACATATTTTTCTTCTCCCCTGAAGACAAAAGCTTAGTCTGCTTTACACGACTCAGCACTGTTAGATCGGGTGCAAATAGGTTGTGCATAAGATCGAGGCGACTCTGCTCGCAGGACAACTGTGAAAGATCTTCAGAGAAATTGAGTTTTTTTTATTATGAATTACAAACCCACAACATGTAAACCATCAGATGCAATTTAGGGTCGATTATGGGAAGAAGCAAGCTCGCAGAGCGCCACAAAACTGTGTTCTTATTGGTTCCAAGCTTGAAATAAGAACATGAGGCTACTTGCGGATGGTCTTCACCAGAAAAATGGTTGAACAAGTAAAGAAAAAGACCAGTGGCTTAAAAAAGCAAACGGAAAAAAAAGCTGATGAATCCCAGAATCGAACTTGGGTCCACTAGATTGGAATGCGGGTGCTAACCATGATATTAAACATGTAAGAAACCTTGCTACAAGGGGGAAAGATACAAACTACTTGAGCCTTATCTCAAATTGGCTAGCAAATATATGAATTAGCTAACAAATATGTGACTTATAGTCTCTTAAACTGCAAATTTCTCGGATGCTGACTTTTAGTGTGGCTAGTACACAGGGAACAGAGGAGTCCTATTTGACCTTTTTTCCAGTTAAATTCGCCATACAATTGTAGTGTGAATCAATTTTTTGTCGATTCAAATGACCTCAAAATCAAACTGTACACATGCGATCATGTTGCAATGATTAAATCTACTATAAATAGACATGTAAAGCTTTTCGCGAGAGCTGTTGTGTAACTTTGTGATATGATAGCTCATCAGCCCTTTTAAGGGTCAAAGTGTATCAGCTTGAACAAGCCCAAAAATTTTTGTCTGTGGGCAAAATTTTAATGCTCGGATTGGATTTCAGTTTGTGAAGTCCTAGTTAGTTCTCTCTGCTCCCGCTATTTTTCAATGTGACTTATGTTTCTTCAGTGTTATTTGTGTAACCTGGAGAGTTTGTCCTCAAGAGCAGGATTTTCTCCCAATGGATTCCATGCCCGTAGTTGAAACTTATAATCTGGTATAATCATGAGCTTTTTAGAGGCTCGCAAGACTGCGGTGTTCTTTATTAGAGACTTTTTTGACAAATACTATGGTAGCCTCAAGGAAATTGTTCGCTTTGATTTCCGATATACGATTTCAGGAGCTCAACCCTCCAGTAGTCATACCATCAATATGTATCTGCGGATTGCCTCTTGTCAAATCTTTGCTAAACTTCGCTGTGGAAATTTACAACAACAGCTTCCAGGAACTTCACCTCTGTCATCAAAAACATTTCCAATGTGTATTGCCAAAGCCAATATTTGGTCTTATTTATAGTTCACTGTTAATTTAAGATTAGAATTGTAATAGAAATGTTAAATGAACTATACCCACAAAGCAAACAAAACAAATTTCCATTTTTAGTGCAACAATCGCAGTCACATAGACCTTGGCCTAGAAATGTAAAACGATACATGTGCCTGCAATATTGACTAATACAGTGATTTCAGCTGCTTTGTCTACTGGTCAGTGGAGTTACTCCAAAAAGTTTACAGATGATGGAAGGACATCATTTGCATAATCTCCACCACCACTAAAACCATATAGATTGCTTACACAATCTCTGGCTATCGAAGCTTATTATTAATATAAAAGTTTAAGACTTATGTTTTGTTCTTTTCCAGTGCAGGTCACCATAATTGCAAATTTATTTGTTTGTTATTTGAGTTGTTTAATTTCAGTGGTTTTATTTTAGATAACTGCACTCTTCCTGTGTCTTCATTAACTTCACCTGTAGAATCAGCATCCTCAGGCTCACAGTCTGACGTAAGCCAAGGACTAACACCACGAGACTCAGAAGTTTTTGATTTTGGTGTTCAAGACAACTGTGAACAGTCCATATTTGAAAAGAAGAAAATGAAGACACGCTCCAGCTCATTGTCAAGGTTTTTTTCGCGGGGAAAACAGCGAAAGCCTGTGTTTAAGCTGGTAGTTAGAGGCAAGTGACCATTTCTTTATGTTACAGATTGATTCAGCCATTCTTGTCAGTTGTTTGAACTAGTGCCTGCTTTAGGACCAGATTCTCAACAACTTCCCAAATACAAATAATTTTATACATGAAATTGGGATGCCGTAATGCCCAAGAAATTATTTCTAGGGTATTACATCTAGTAATAATAATAATTAACAACTTATATTGCGCCTTTTAACATGCAATGATCAAAGGC